GGATACATAGAAAGTAAGAGTTGGATACATAGAAAGTAAGAGTTGGATACATAGAAAGTAAGAGTGGAGAGTGGCCGGCGGGGCTGCGGTGCTGGGGGGGCTCGGGGGGCTCAGGGAAGGGCAGGGGGAGCTCCCCCAGAGCAGGCAGTGGCACCATGGCACAGCACTGCCAAAAACACTCCTGTGCTGCTGCTCCTCCTCCTCGTGCCTGGTGAACTCTGCCTTTGGAGTTTTCTGAAGGGCTGTTAATGTGGGAGGCTCAGATGAGAGAGAGAGGGGACAGAGGGCTGCTGCTCTTTCCCTCCATGGCTCATCCGCAGAAAAGCCACTGCCTGGGTTTTACCTGACTGATCCTTGGCCCTCCATGAGTTCTCTGTGTCATGGAGGAGAGGTGTGAGTGTGCTCAGTGCTCTCCTTCCTTCTCCGAGCAGCAGAGTTGCTTTCTTTAACAATTCCAAGTGCTGGTGAATGATTTGTGAGTGGTGGGCAGCTTTGGCCATGCCAGGATGGAGGCTTTGGCTCTGTGGCTCTTGTGAGGCTTCTCCCCTCCCTCACCTGTGTGGGCTCCTGCTGTGCTTCTGCCTGATCCATGGGGCATCTCCTACTCCACGTGTGTCCCGAGCTGCTCCTGGTGGAGGCCTGGCTATACCAGTTGGAGGGCCTGTGTTGTTTGTAGTAACAGAGGCTGAAGCCTCTTCTCATCCACAGGTCAGGTACAGTGTGGACAAGTGCACTGTAGACTTCCCTACACTGCTCCACCAGTGCACCTCAAAGCAGACATGGAAGGACCACTATCTAATAGGGGTGAGAAGGTAATTGTAGTCCCTGTTCCAGGCTCTGGGGCGAAGCTTTGTGTGTAACATCATTGCCACCGCTGTCTCCTCTCAGCATCTGCTTGTCCGTGACCTCCTATGTGTCTGTCCTTAGTCTTGGTGGCCCTGGGTTGATGTACCCACTGTTGGTCAAAATGGCATCACTTTGTTCTTCACTAAACACCCCTCCTTGTTGTGAAGTGCTTCATTCCCTGAAGGATTCTCATGTCCTCCTGCTGACTCCTCTCTCTGGTTTCTCCCCTCCCCGTGTGCCCTGAGCTCCGTTCCTCTGTTGGTAACAGAGCAGGGGGGACTGTCAGCATGTGCTAACTTCCCAGTTTTCCACGAGTTAACAAAAGAAATTCATTTCTTGTGGATTGCAGTATTGCTTAAAAAAAACCCAAACCAACAACTGGCTGTTACAATATCTGAAACAGGAATGTTATTTCACAATGTCTGGCCAGGGAACAATATTGCATGTTGATATTTTTCTGTGCAGCACTTCCAGTATCTAATAAACAGCTTATTGGGGGCAAGACTTCTCAAACATGCTTAGGCTCGTAAGATTTTATTTGGGATTCCAGTTTCAGTGACTTTCCTTTGAGGAAACACTGAGCCTTTGGCAACTCTTCGTGGTTTTAGCTTTTGTCTTTGCTGTCAGAAGTTCTCAGCGACTCTCTTTTCAGATCTCTCTCTACTCAGTGCAGCAGTGGCAGCTTATTGAGCTCTGTTTCAGCGAGCACAAGCAGGGGAACAGGAAAGTTACTTTTTCAGTCTAAATGCTACCATTTTTTCATGATATCTGCACAGTGAGCTGGAGAGTTTTCAGAAAATATTATACAGTCCCAGTGCTGTCATTCAGAGAAGCTCCACTGCAGCAAGCAGCTCCTGATTTAAATGCAATTACTTGCTCGCAGCTGTTGCAGAATGGGGTTCTCAGGACATGGAGCTGCCCCCCAACCAGCTCCTTTTCCAAACAGTCACTTGCATGTTGAATTCCTGAAAACTGAAACAGCTTTTTTTCCACATCCAAAATTTTTTAAAAGCAGTGATAGCTGAGATCCTGGGAAAACACTTGTAAATGCTAAGTCTCTGTTTCCCTTTTCTCCTGGGGCACCCCCCACCCTCCCCTCAGGGTGCCCAGTGCAGTGGCTGGTGAGATCTGAGTTGTGACCAACTCAGTGGCTGCTTCCCTTGCCCAATGGCAAGGGCAGGGCTGTATTTGCAGAGCAGTGAGGTGAAGTGATTTGAGGGGAGCCTGTGATGGTTATCGAGGGAGGGGGATAGAGTCAGGACCACTGGTAATGGTCTTTGTCTTTCTTGGTAGCTGCTGTATCACAGGACAAACTGATTAAATCCTGGGTTTGGTGTGCTGCCCAGTTTTGTATGGTTTCACAGCTGAAGGTGTGCCCAGAGGGGCACCTTTCCTGCAGGCTGTGCTGCCACAGTCCCGTTACCTCCCGCCTGGGCTCCTCGGTGCAGTGCCTGCATCCCTGGCAGCTCCTTCCATGGGCAGGGCTGGCAGCTCCTGGGCAGACAGTGCTTCCAGAGGGGGTTTTCCTGGGGGGAAGTGGCTTCCACAGCAGAGCCCATGTCTGTCCTGTTCTCCCTGAGATCACGTTGCCACCGTGAGTGCTGTCTGTCTCCGAAAGCAGCTGACGCTCCGCTCCCGTTTCTCCCCCCAGGTCATCCTCTTTCAGTACTGACTGCCCGGACTCTTCCTCACCTGCCCATGGCCCTACCAGCACCACTGCCCCTCAGCCGCTGACACGGCGTCCAGCCCACGGCAACTGGAGTCAGTCCCAGAGGAGAAGCTCAGATCCAGCGCTCCCAATTCTTCCCATTGACCAGCACCTCACGCCCGCTCCGGTTTCTCCAGCGACACTCTGTGTATGTGTGTGTTGAGTGCAGAGTTACATTTGACACTTGTTTCTTGTGGACTTGTAGAATGACCGTGAGTCTCTCCGAGGCAGTGCCAGACACAGTCAAAACTAGTGACTCTACTGTGCTTGCAAATCTTGCTCCCAAACCCATGGGAATACGAACAACCCAGGACACGCTGAGTCTCAGGGGGGTCGGTGATCACCCCTGAACGTAAAGGAAGGAGGAATTTACGTGGTTTGGCCTGATTCTCTTTTTGCACCAGTGAAGCGGTTCCCGGACATCCCTCCTTATTTCCACTTGCATGTGTGACATCTGAAATGGGCTTTTTGGCTCAGCAACTCGATACATAGACAGACCTTCCTGAGCCAAACTCGCAGGTAGCCGAGACTCCACTAAGTGGAAAACATGATGCCAGCTGGAAATAGGCAGTTTTTCTTCCTCCTCAAAGTGCTTTAGAATCACATGTCCTTTGATCACTCAAAGGTAAGTAAATCTTAGTGTTTTTCCCCCCCGTTTTATAGGAGGGGAAACAGAGATGTCCTAAACGGAGAGGAACCGTGGGGGTTGGTGGCAGAGCCAGGTTTAGCATCCTGAAGTTTTTGATTGCTGACTCGTTCTTAGAACACTGAATATCTCTCTCCTCTCACAGCCATCTGCCAAATCTTCATTTTTTAAATTTTTTTTTTAAAGTTTTTTACTCTTGTTCTTTATTAACAAACTACTTTATTTCCTTGGAGTCATATCGGATCACAAATGGGTGATTTCAGAGTGTACCTACACAAAACTCTCTCAGACTCTCCATGCTCTGGGACTGGGAAATGCTCAATGGAAGGTGACCATAAAGGTGTAGAAACGTTCTGCCCTGCTGTGGACCCAAGTTCAATCAGTGGAAACAGTCAGGTAGAAACTGGAGACCAGTTAAAAAGGTGAAGACCACAGCGAGGCCAGGAGGAACAGTCACTAGCCGAGTGGTCAGCAAGGTGGTGGCGTGTTCCTCTGTCTGGCAGCGTCGCTCTGATTCCCTCTGCCCTCCCGTTCTCCCTTGCTGGAGTGCATTCCTTGGTCCTGCCAGGCCCTGGGATGAAGGTGCAGCCCGGGAGAAGAGCTGCCGGCGGGCTCACGGCGACAGCAAAGGAAACGCTCAGCAGTCTGGCCCCGAATCAGGAAAAAGGCTCCAAAATGATCCTTCATTGACGGTAACAACAAAAAGTAAACAAGTGACCTCTGCCAGCCCTTCTCAGTTTGCACCGAGCCAAGAGCGGGTCTGTAACAAAACCTGTCTCCACGCAAGCACACGGGCCTGTCCTGCTGCTAAGTGTCCGTGAGGCCGCACGTCCAAGAATGTGAAAGCCCACCACGAGCCACAGCCAGTGAGGGGAACAACCCATCTGTGCCCCAGGAGCAGGAGACGGGAACCCATCCCTTACATAACTTGTTTTTGAGTCGAACTGTACGTACACGTGTTTTCCTCTCTGGGAGATCCTGGATCCATCTCCAGCGCCGGCCGGAGGGGCAGCCGTCCATCCCACTGCTCTGGCCAGCCCCTGTTGCACACATGGCAAGGCTTCTCCTGGCCATGTCCCTGAACTCTGTGTGACACCAGCGGCCACACACGCGGCTCCGGCTGACCGGGAACGGCCTGGGGAGATGTGGATGTTCTGCTGAGGTGGCCACCAAGGTCTCTGGGTTTGAGAAGTAGCTGAGTACGAGCACACGTTGATATTGGTTGGAGCAAATGCATATGTACACACACACTCTGCTCTGTGTGTATGTATCGAGAGAGAGAGTGATGGTACTACCTCGGACAGCCAGGCCAGTATCTGTCTAATTGCAGCCAGCAGCTCTATCCCCAGTTTTTGAAAGGAGAGAGGGAATTGAGTCCAGAAAATATTATTGTCACCTCCTGACGTGCGAGCGACCATTCCCAGTGTGTGCCCAGTGACAGGGCACTGCCCTGTGCCTGCCCTGACTGGAAGCAGCGCTGCAGAGGTGTCCCCTCGGGGAGGGGACAGTCACCAGTCACAGCAGTTTTTGTCCTTGCCCCTAGCAATGAGTGAAGGACTGGTGTTCCCTTCCTTGGCTCTTGGTGAGTGTTTGTGATCACAGGTTGAGGTGGTTGCTGGGTTCATGTGCAATGGCCTTGAGATGCTGGTGGGGGTCAGGGGGGGTCACCGGGGCAGACTTTGTTCTCCATTTGTGCTCACGCATCCTAACGACCATTTAGTTGTGGAATTAGTGCCGTTATTTCATTTAAGACTGAAGGAGAGACTTCAGGCTGTAACTTGCCCTGACATCCCACAGTCCTTGAGATTTCCACGACTGTTTCGTGGAGGGAGAAAAGCGTTCGATGTGTTTCTCTTCTGTCTCGGTGGTGCAATGAAAGGAAAACTATGAAATATGTATCTGCTAAATACCAACTTGATCAAAAGAAACCCCACTTGTGAAATGTACTGTATAACCAAGGGTTTGTCACCGATCCCACGGCAGGGCCTGAGCACGAGGCAGGGGCTGAGGGGGTGTAGGTGTTTCTCTCCAGGGATGTGGGCTCACTACAGACTGTGCTCGGGGCACTTCCCCCCATAAGTAGCCAGGAGCAGCTTTGCTAATTCAGAAATCAGGCTCTGTTTATATTAAGCCCAAATTGTTTGCAAAAACTGGAAGCAATTCAGCTTGTGCAGTTTTAGAGCTAATTATGTGTATGGAAAATACTCAACTGTACCAAGAATGTAAGAAATCTTCTAATTTATTCAATACATTGTTTCACAACATATTTCACACTGACTGTTGCCACTGAACCAAACCTTATCTCAGGTCATTTGCATTCATCTCCTGTCTGTGGATTAAAAAAAAAAATAAAATTAAAGTCATTCTCATTTTCTTAGTTTATTCAGTAATTGCCAGATGGGTTCTGGTGCAGCAATGCAGACTCCACGCACTAAACTTTTCCAGTTGCTATTTACAAAGCCTTTTGCAGACAGAACCCGCTGAGGACAGCCAGTGAAAGGCTCTTCACTCCAGTTTAATAAGGTAACTAATACGGCTCGGCTCTGAAAGTGGAATGGTTTAAGGTTTTATCACCAGTGATTTTTTTTGGCTCATGCTGGTTAACCCCAATGCCTGAGCTAAAGGTGCTTACACAACTCACTCGTTGGGATGGGAGTGGGAACCAATCCTGCACTACTATCAGTGATTTATCTGTAGGATGCCAACTAAACACCAGTTTTATTTCATCTGCCAATCATTTTGTTGTAGCATGTTGCAATTCTGCATGTCTTGGCTACAATGGTTAAAAAATTTTTTCTCTGAATGAGTGGACAGTCAAGACTAATATTTATTTTAAAAAAGTAAAACTAAATTGTAAGCACTTTTTTGTAAAACCAATGTCTGTTTTGTTACATACTTTTAATGTTGTGCTTTGTAAATGTCTTATTTGTGTAATAAATAAAGTTAATGCAAGTAGAAGTGCTGGCACTTACATCCAGAAAATGATGTAATTCCATTTTATTTTATTTTTAAATACTTTCTGGCTTACTAATCAAGCAGCAACCCACCCAGTTTTCCTCTTTTATTATTTTGTTAAACTCTGGCTTCAGGAGAGTTCAACAAACGTTCGTAGTAAATGGATATAATTTCCTAGTTAGCAAACCAGTCATTAAAGAATACCTCTGGTGTACATTATTACAATGATCAATCAATATCAAAGTACTGAGCAAAAAGAGAGGAAAGGAATTCACCAGGACAGCTAACTAAAATCTGGGAAAATAATGTTGATTAAGATGGATTTGAATGACTTCAACACCGAATCTGAGGCACTCCTTTTAACAAATTGTTTTCAGGCTTAATAATGTTTATACATACTACACTGCACACCTCTCAGGAATATTATTGTGAGTACAGTCGGCTTTTTTTCCATGGCTTTTGCTCAGCATGACTGATTAAATGATTATTTCCATTTTTGTTTGTGCTGACAGAGATGACAGAAAGATTATATTCCTGTCGAGGGAAGGGGTGAGACAAATCCACGAGGACAAATTGCATTTATTGTGACTCAGATTACCTGCTTTGCTGGAATATTATTGTCTAGCAAGATGTGGTTTATGGTTTCGGTTTGTGCTCAGCTCTTCCACCCCCAGCTTTCCGGCAGGTCCGAGTGATCCATTCATGCTCATCATCGTCTGAAAAGGAGATAAAGAGAGCGCTAAACATCCCCGTGTCAGAGCTGCTCTCTGCAGCACTGGGGTCCAGCTCAAACAAGCAATTTTTCCTTTGAAAAGCAAATCCATTTCTAGCCGTTGTCATCTCTTAGAACACTTTTTTTTTGGTTGTTGTTGTTTGTTTAAAAGATCGTGTGCTGTTGTGTGGAGATTTGTCAAGGCAGGAGGTGCTGGATCTGTGGCAAGGAGTGATTATTTGTCTGTTTGAAAAGCTTAGCTTGGGTGAACTATAAGATTTACATGTATAGATTTTATCTTTTGTGTTTTGGGCAAAATATGCAGGAGAAGCACTGAAACTATCAGAAGTTAATACAGAGCTTTTTTTAAAATACTATGCCTGTGTTGCTTGTCAGTTTATGAAAAACGAAGGTAAAGAAAAATCTATAGTAAAACCCCAGGTTCTTGTCTTCCAGCTTCTCTTTCCATGCTGTTTTTGAGATGTACGTTGAGGCAGGTATCCATTAAGTGATGTAGTGGCTGAGAGACACATTTTAGACCATCTTCTGTGTCCCTTGTTAGTATTCATGTCTGACGTATTTATTTTGAGAGCATAATGACAGTGTGGAAAGAAAATAAAAGCAAAGACAATGTAGGAAAAAAATAACTGCCCAGCAAAGTTTGAATAGAAATTTTCTGTATGATTACAAAAAAATAGCCTGGTGAATGTTAAGTTGTGGCTTCTTAATTCCAGGGATTTAAACAGTCTTGTCTCCAGAAACTGTTCTGCAGCCTTTTCTTTTGTGTTGGTGTAGGGGAAAGGAGATCTATGCAGTAAACCAGGAAAGCCAAACTTCAAAGAGCCTTGGAAAAAAATCAAAGTATTACTTAAAACAATATCTGTATTTATTTTTATATAAGTGAAATGTATTCGAGCTGCTTCTTGTGTTTACCACTATCTTAACAAATCCATACTAGGTGCTTGTGATGTGTGTTTCTAACCTGTTTCAGTCTAGATTTTAAGAAAGAATAGATGGCTGGGAGGAGGATGGAGCTGAGGGGGCTGCGACCTTGTGCTGTGACCATCCTTTGGCACAGTCAGGCACAGTCCCATTTAATCACACTCTGAGCACCCTGCTTGGGTAGGTCAGAAAAGATGGAGAAAAAGCACGTTCCCTGCAAGGAGTCAAATTTTCCTGGAGATCTTTTGACTGTGGAGTTGTACCTTTAGGTTAAAGTGACAGAGGAGCATTTGAAATGCAAAAGGTAGGAAGGTTCCGGGAATGAACTGACTGAATAATCAGTTGTGTTGTGTTAATCTAAGAAGTAAAGTATGTGACAAATTCAGTCTGTTGCACAAGTCAACAAGCTTGGGGGTTAATCTTATTGATTGTGGGGGGGTTTGAATCAAGTCAGCTTTGTCTTTCCCACAGATCAGCCATGGGGCGCTTTAATGACTGGAAAATAGTCACAATTTGGGTCGAATGGCCAAGTTCAGCTCTCTCTGTGTTTCACGAATCCCTAGGTCCATTACAAAATCCCTTGTTAATGGCACGTTTCTTATTGGGGTGTAAACTAGGGGAAAAAATGTGCTAAAAGGGGAATTAAAAAGATGAGCACTGAATCTTGCTTAAAGACCGCGCAATCCTTGGAGGCAGATTCCACTGAGGGCTGCAACAGGAATGCAAATGTGGTCCTTAAGCTTTCTTAAAAACAACACCCGAGCCATAATCAGTGTGCTGGCTTTTGTTCTATGCACTAGGTGTTCCAGACAGTAACGACGCGTCACGTGAGCCCCGGCTGTGAGCAGAGATTGTCCAGCCTGGGTGGGTGGCTCTGTGATTTTAGCTGGAATTGCCTTAACTACAAAAAAAAAAAAAAAAAAAAAAAAAAAAAAAAAAAATAGTTTATCTGAGCTTGTAATAATGGCAGGAAAAATTAAACTTTTTCTGCCCTGGTGAAGGAATAAGAAGAAGTTACCTAAGCTGTACATCAGCAGTGGTATCTGGGTGTATGTGCCTCACCTGAGCACTAGAAGTGACCAGCCTGGAGCCATCAATAACTCTCACTGGAGTTATTTTTGGAGCTGGAGCCATCAATAACTCTCACTCAGCTGAGCACCCGGGGATGAGCACAAAGAAAGGCAGATGTAACTTGGCTTCATCTCACAGGTTTCCAGCCTCTCCTTGGTTTGCCCAGGTTGTTTCCTTCTGCATTCTGGGTTTTCCTGGTTTCTGAGCAAAGCACACAAGGCAAGTAGCTCCAAGGATTTTACCCTCTCCAGGCCTATCCCAAAGTGTCTCGGTTCCTGCAGTGATCTGAACCCATGCAAATTAAATCCGTGTTCATAAGCCCTGCTTAACTTGCATGTAGTTTATTCAGACGTAAAACTGAACGAACAAGTGAATTTAAACTTTGTGTATGAAAATGACTCGATATGAAGTAAATCCCTAGAACTGCCACCCAACCCAGTGTTCTGTACAACTGCTCCTTGGTCTAGGTAAGGGGAAATGAAAGGATTGATCCAGCATAGCAAGAAGAACCACAGCCCCAGAGATGAGAATGGCTCCAGGGTTGGCTATGGGAGAGGAGGCAGGGAAATATTAGAATGTAAAGAGTTAAGCTATGGTAAAACATACTTTTGCTACACTAAAGAAGACTGGTTGATAATTACTGTAGTTTTAGGGCTATTTGAATCAGTGCAGCTGCAACCTCTTCAGTAGTAACCCCTGAAACAAGACAAACTGGGTTTATTGTACTGAACAAGTCTTAAAGCTCCTCCCTGATTGTTAGTAATTGGCAGCAATGGACTTAACAGCCTCTTGACTACCCTTTTTACACTCTACCTGACTGTGCAGCTAACAATTTAAATCACAGATGCCGATCCTTCTTTGTGGCAGCTGCTTGTTAACTACACGTTCCTCTTTTTCTGTCACTGGCTGCTTCCATAACCCTGCAACACCAGGGTTAGATTGGAGAATCACATTTCATCAATATTTAAAATGGAATTAAACCTTGAAGTTTGATTAATGCTACCGGATAGTGAGTTGTAATTACTATTTTGCAAATTGCAATTGTTTGAATATGGTAATATGATTGTCTAAGCACATCTTCACCTTCAGAAGTAATTTTCCTTTTAAAAAAGATTCGAAAAAAATACAAACTCTTTAATCAGTGGTAAATTATCACCCTGTGCACAATTAGGTAGTGTGGGGTTCTTCATGTGGTGTGCTGAATTTTGGGTCTGCATATTTATCTTTAAAAAGTTTATCCATTTTTTTAGATTTTCCTCAGTAGAATAAACACTGATGGAACAGACTTTGCTGAAACAGGACCGTGTTGATGTTTGAAGGTAAAGGAAAAAAGCTTTGTCTGAGCATTTCACTGCAATCTGATGTATCCCTGTGCAGTTAGTAAATGTTAACCAGTGTTTTCTTCCAAAGTCAGTGAAATATAATTATTATTATCATGGCATGTTATTGAAATCTTGAAACTGAGAGAGACAGAGAGAGATTGTAATGGATGAGCTGTTGGAATATATGTAAGTACTGACTGATTCTCTTGAATTATTTCCTTGTGTCTCAATCAAAAATAAGAGCAGTTTTTAGCACCCCCTGAATATATTTTGAATATTGTGGGTGAGATCCTCAGCCAGCCCACGCTGGGACAGCTTCTCTTTTATTTTTGTGATTAATTCAGGCTGTTTTCATTAAGCAGGCAGAGGCATTTGGAGCCAACCCTGGCAGGCACCTGATCTCCAGAAACAGCATCCCCCACAGTAGATGATTAACCAGGGGTGCAAGTCCTCCTGATCTCCTGTTGGACACTGTCTACACAGTCAACAGGTCAGTTTGGAGAGAGTCTCTTTAGGCAAATAAGACCCAGCTAAAGCTGTTGGTTGTAACGTGCTCCTGTAAGTAGCCTGTTCCAAAATTACTTCTTCTCACCAAATATTGCCTGGCAAGTTTCTGCCTTGTTTTGGGTGGCTTTAGGGGAAGCTCCAAATGCCAGCCAAGTCCAAACAGGTCAAAACCCCTGTTAGGTGTGTTCCACGGTGAGCTCAAACTGCAGCTCACCCAAATCAGTGGATTTCTGCTCAGCATCTCTCCAAAATGAAACCACTTGCCTAATTTTCAATGATCAGTCTAAAAGCAGTGGCAGAAGAGACTTCCCCAGCTACCACACTCCAGATTTATCTCTCAGCTGGGATTAGAAACAGCTGAGAATTCAGGGTGGCCTTGCTTCAGGGTGCTTCCAAGGGATGACTTGCAAACACGCTGTAATTTAGGTGCGTTTAATCTTGCTATATTA